CATGCATAGAAGGTAAGTATACCAGACCTGTAGTGGCCATGTTGGAGCTATTAGTATGACATGAGCTCGGTCCTCCTCTATTTTGCGAAGTACTCAGAATAGGAAGGGAAAGGGAGGGAAGGCATTAAGGAGTGGTGTGTCCCAGGTTATGAGGAATACATCTACCAGCAATCCATGCCACAGTCCCGTTCTGGATCAGAATTGAGGGCAACGGGTGTTGTGTTGAGTGGCAAAGAGATCTATGGTGGGAAGGCCCCATCAGTTGAATATGGGTTGAAGTGCTCACATATCCAGCTCCCACTCATGATCGTGTGAGAATTCCCTGCTCAATGCATCCGTGGTGGTGTTCTGGTGTCCCAGGAGGTATGTGGCTGAAATGGAGATGTTGTTCTGGAAATACCAGTTCCACAGTTTGATTGTCTCCGAGCATAAAGAGTAGGACCTCGCTCCACCCTGCCTGTTGATGTAATACATGCAAGTGAGATTGTCCATCATCACTCTTATGTTATGATGTTTGAGAAGAGACAGGAAATATTGGCAGGCACTGCAGACCACTCGAAGCTCTAGGACATTGATGTGTAAGGTGGATTCAGTGGACGACCATCTACCCTGCACTGAGTGTTTGTGTAGATGTCCCCCCCCACACACACACTGATTAGGGAGGCATTGGTGGCTAGGATCATAGCTGGTGATGGTTGTAGGAAAGGAACTCCAACACAGATGTTGCTGGGCTATGTCCACCACAGCAGTTAGTCTTTGACTCGCCTCAGCACAGATAAAAGTTTGTGAATGCTGTGCTTGTGGGGGAGGTAAACAGTATGGAGGCATGCTTGAAGACATAGCATGTGCAGTCTTGCGTGCCTGACCTCAAACGTGGCCGCTGCCATGTGGCCTGGAAGCCAGAGGCATATTTGTGCAGAGATCTGGGGGCAGATACGTGCAGCAGATACCAGATTCATTATAGCTAAGAATCTGAGAGACGGAAGGAAGGCTCTGGCTTGTATGACATATAACTGCACATCACTGAATTCCAGCTGTTTTACTGACATTAGAGTGGATTTTCTAGGTTCACAAGGAGACCTAGCTTCATGAACAGGTCTGTTGTTATGTGGGTGGCTCGGAGAGTGTAGATTTCAGATGGGGCCTCAAGGAGACAGTCATCCAAGTATGGAAAAATGATAATTCCTCTTTTCCTTAGTAGGTTGCAACTATTGCAAGGACCTTGGAGAACACCCGAGGTGTTGTGGATAGTCCAAAGGGCAGTACTTTGTACCTGACAGTGGTCAGTGCTCACGACAAACCAGAGGAATCATCTGTGGGCAGGATGTATAGAAATATGAAAGTATGCGTCTTGGAGGTTGAGGGCAGAGAACCACTCCCATTGTTTCATGCTAGGAGAATAATGGAGAGGGTAACCATCTTGAAACATTGCAGCTTGACGAATCTGTTTAGATTGCAAAGGTCTAGGATATGACACCAGCCACCGGGCTTCTTCTGAATCAGAAAAGAGTGAGAGTAGAAACCCTTTCTCGTGTGTTGGGGAGGGACCTGTTCCATGGCTCCCAGTTGCAGAAGGTGATCTATTTCTTCCCATAGAAAGGACTTATGAGGGGGGTCCCTGAAGAGGGAAGGGGGAGCGGGCAGAATAGGAATGGGAAGGAGTATCCTTCCTTGACTATCTCTAGAACCCACTTATCCGAGGTGATGAAACTCCAAGATGGGAAAAATTGAGCTAGCGGTCGCCAAACTACTGGAACATCAGAGATGGTGGGGATGACTGGAACAAGGGAAGGCTTCTTGGGGGCCTTGATCACACCTTCAAAATTGTTGCTTTGGTGCCAGTACATGAGAGGTAACCCTTGAGAAGTGGGCTGTCTACGTTTAGGCTGAGGCCTTTGTCAATGGCATTGGGTGTTGAAGTGCCATTGAGAGGTATACTGTTGAGTTTGGGACTGCGGTGGGAGTTGGTACTTCCCCGAGTGTCTCTTTGGTGCTTGTGTGCATATCCCGAGAGAATAAAATGTAGCTTGGGTGTCTTTAAGGGAATACAATGAGTCATCTGTACGCTCAGAGAACAGTTCTAGCCTTTGAATGGTAAGTCCTCTACTGTGTACCTCCTTAGGAAAGCCTGAGAGGTGGAGCCATGATGCATGCCTCATGACCATAGCAGTGCGATGGATCGAGCAGCAGTGTCTGCAGAGTCTAATGAGGCTTGTAGGGCTCTACAGGCTAGGAGGTGTCCCTCTGATATCTAGGACTGGAATTGCTCCTTTTTGGTCTCCGGTAGATCATAGTAAAGTTCCTCCCATTTGGAGTTATTCAGATAATTATACCTGGCCATGAGAGCTTCATAATTTGAAATCCTAAATTGGAGTGTGGCTGAATAGTATGTCTTGCATCCAAATAGGTCCAGACATTTCCAATCTCTGTCTGGATGACTAGATCGAGATTGGTACTGACGGCTCCTCTCCTGCACCGCATTGACCAACAAAAAATTTGCGGTGGGGTGCGAAAATAAAAATTCAGTATTCTTCGCCAGAACATATTTTCTGTTGGCGTGTTTGCAAGTTGGAAGGATGGAAGCCGGGGTCTGCCACAGAACCTTTGCAGATTTGAGACAAGCCTCATTGATCGGTAGTGCGATCTTTGAGGAAGAGGATGTGTGGAGGATATCCAGCAGTTTATACTGTTGATCTTTGACGTCCTCCAAAGGGATCTATAGGGAGTCCCCAATCCTATGGAATAGATCTTGAAAGTGCCTGAAGTTGTCAGCAGATATAGAGGATGGAGGCATAATTGCCTCATCAGGTAAGGAGGAGGAAAAATGTAAAGTTGGGAGCCTCCTCTTCCTACTCTTCCTCCTCAGTTGGTATCAGTGGCGGTTTGACTTCCTGAGGGTGAGAGACCAATGGAGAAGGGAGAAGTGTATGTCTCTGGCTTTGCTCTCTGCGAAGGTTCCCAAATTGTGCCCTGTACCTGGCCCAAGGGTCCCAATATGGTCAGTTTGGTGGGAATGGCACATGTGGCTGCATCCATGGTGGCACTGCCAGGATTGGGAGCCAGAGGTAGTCCGCATATAGTGAGGATAAGCCGGTGCAATTTGTCCAGTAGTCGAGGGAACAATGGAGCCCTCGTCCTCCTTCTCCTCTTCCTCCTCCTCACTGGGAAGGGAGGTGTTGTCCTCGGCAGAGAGAGGGAGGAACGCCGTGAGTCCAGAGAGGAGGGTAGAAATGGGGGGAAGTTCCGTCAAAGAAGCAGAGACTCAGGAGTGTCAGATACCAGAGGTCTTTAGGGTATCTGAAGTCTTGTGGAAGGGGAAGGAGCACCATCAGTGCGGTTGTAATGCATGGTGATGGAGAGAGAGTGTATGTCCCTGAAGTTTCAGAAGATGGCACAAGAGATTTGGCCGGTGCCAGTGACTTGACCAGTACCGAAGACTTGCCTGGTGCCGAAGATTTTGGTGTTGATGATTCGGTCAGTGCTGGTGACTTGGCTGGTGCCAACTATTTTGATGGTGCCAAGGACTTATTCGGTGCCAACAGCTTCATCGGTGCCAGAAATGGCATTGGTGCCATAGCTCCTGCAAGCGGGCTGCCTCGGTCCCCACAGCTGGGAAATGACGCCGAGGGCTGAAGGTGCCCGGACAAGATCATTAGACCATTTCCTTGAACCAGTACCAGAGGTATTCAGATGAGCCCTGGAGCTATGTCCCCTGTGAGATGAGGTTGAAGCCACTGACCTAGCTAGGGATGGTGTTCTGGAGGGCTGAGCCTCGGAGTGTGAGGAGAAGGAAGCCTGTTTCTTGTCATCTGCATGATCACGGATGACTTTCTCTTCACAGGACATGGAGAGTTGAGGTCGGCAGACAATCTGGCAGAGCATTAAGGCTTCTCTGGGGAAGAGTCCGGGCCCGGGTCCAATCCTGGATGTAGTGATTTCTCCATGAGGAGAAGTTTCAATCTAATATCCCTATTCTTTCTAGCTCTGGGTTTCAGGCCGAGGCAGTGAGAACACTTGAGGTGTGGCGACGACACAGGAAAGGAAATAGAACGCCAGGTTTGTGGTAGCCAGAGAGCTTTAAAAGCCTCAAGCCGAAAGCCTCCCAGGAAAACTTTCCTGGGGTTTTTATTTCTCGCCTTACTTTGTTTACAACTCTTCTTAGTGGTTACATTCCTGCGCATAGAAAAGCCAGGCAGTATACATGCACATAAGATAACGAACCCATCTCTTGAGCGTGTGAATGCCAGCTGCGAGGAAACAATCAAATCAGCCAAATAAGTTTTCCAAACACAAACGCTGGATTGAAGGTCTCTCCTGCCTCGTTGCCATGGGGGCAGTTTGCCACGCCCGTGGGCTGGCGATTCGGGAGCTATGCATTCCTACATTGAGGGACATGTCCCTTTCAGACAGTGGATACACTGTGGGTGGATGTCCATTATCGAGAAGGCGGCCCCGCATGAACGCACCTCTTATACTTGGGAGAGCTGGGCATAAGGGTGAAGGGAAAAGGGCTTCCCAGTCTGGAAGGCGGGAAGTGGGATAAATGGAAACCTAAGCTATGAGAATAACTGTAAAGATAAAGTTAAAACAAAAAACAATTTTTTTTTATAGATAGACATTGAAAGAAGAAGAGGAAAATACTAACTATTCTATCAGGTAAGGAACTATCTAGGAGGAGCAGCGAGCTCTGCTAGCGGCTTCCATCCCAGACCAAAGGTAATAAAGAAGGAACTGGTGCTGTCTGTCTGACCAAACAGTGCTATATATATATATGTCCTGTGCACAGTGTGAGAGAGACAAGATGCACATGTGCAGTCCTACGGGCACTTCTGGTGAAGATCTCCGATACCAGGCGCAGGAGACACTGCCGCACCTACAACGGAGCACCAATAGGGACATCACTTTAAGAAGAACAATGAATTAGTCATAATGATGTCTTTAAATAATCGTTAATAACTAAGTATCTGATGTAAGACAGCCTTCACTCTCATTCCACCACACACTTCTTGAAAATGTTTAATGAACAACTGAGTGTTTTCCTTTGTTTTAGCTTTGTAATACAGATTTGTGTGTTTGTGTTTTATCAAGGAAAGTGTCTCTCAAGGGAAAATAACTGACAAGGTTATGACAAGCAGGTGCCGGGGGCGGCCAATGAAGAGGGGGGTGGCAAGTCTGGCCATTCGGCGGCAATTTGGTGGCGGGGCTGTCACTCCCTCTCGCAACGAAGGACCTGCCGCTGAAAGGCCGCCATAGAATGAAGTGGCGGTAGAGCTGCTGCCGATCGCAATCGCGGTATTTTTTTTTTTTTTTTTTTGGTGCTTGGGGCGGCAAAAACGCTAGAGCAGGCCCTGCTGACAAGTCATATTTTTCTTGCCTTAATGTTTGACATTCATCAGTCATGACTACATAAAGTTAGTGCAGTCTCTCTCAAAGAAGCCAAAAAGAAACTGACATTTCATAGTGGTGTGAACCGTTCATCATCTGCTGCGTAGACTCCATTAATCTGGCCTGCTTTTAAATCTAGTATATCGCAGGGAATCCCATTTTCTGTTGTCACTGGTGTGTCACATTTGTCTTCTAAATCTCCTGTCTCTGCAGACTCATTGTTATTTCTAAAAAGGAATAACAAAATTACATTACTGCAATCAAAGTGTACCATTCAACAAAGACTGGGCATAAGAAAAATAGTTTAGCATGCACTTTTATTAAGAAGTTTACAACACACTATATACAAAGAGGCATAGTCTACTCATCTGAAGATAGGAATGAGAGTCAGAAATTCCTAAGTAAATTCTAATATCACTTTCACCCTGGCTCCCTTCTGTTGCCTCACTTAACTTCTAGACTTCAGTTTCCCCTTCTGTAAAATGGCTTGGAGGAGGGTGAAAAATAGAAAAGGAAAACAAAGAATAAAATACACATTCATATATTTAATAGATTTCAAGGCTATAAGGGGCCACCATGATCATTTAGTCTGACCTACTGCATAATACAGGCCATAGATTTCACTCAATGATTCCTGCATCTAGCCCAACAACTTGACTTAAAGACACATGTTAGATGTTAGAGAATATATGCACCACATTTCTTGGTAATCTATTCCAATGGTAAGTTTCTCCCACTGTTCTAAATTTGTATCTTATGTCCAGTTCAAACTTCACTAGCTTTAACTTCCAGCCATTGGATCTTTGGTGCTAGATTAAATAGCAATATGTCTTGCATACTTTCACTTTTCCAGACTCAGACTCTGATACCAACCATAATAAAATAGGTGCTGAAGAAAACTGACAAACTGTAAGCAAATTTAGTCAACAATAACTGTATAGTTCCTTTAATTTCCATATTTATTTTGACCTTGAGACCTGCTGATTCATAGCTGAAGAAACCTCCTGTACTTTACAGACTGCAGCATCAGCAACTCAGAATGATAAGAAAGTCACAGGTTAGCTACAGTATTTCTTCCAATCCCATAACACATTGTGACAACCTGACTCAGTACTTATAGATCAGTAATATTAACAATAATAAAACTTTACTGGCCTGCGAGAGATACTTGGACTTTAGAGACCTGCTAAAAATAAATGAGAGTGGGTAATAAACTCCTCTCCTCCTGCTTGTGACATGCTTCTGGGGTTGTCTCTCCTAGCTTGGAAATGAGACAAGTCTATTAGCAGAGAAGGAGATGACGTGCTGCCATGGTGATAGAGCTAACACATTGGAAACCAGGCTTATGAGGGATTGGAGAGAGAGTCTGTTCAGTATGGGCCTGATCCAGTTCCCACTGAGATCAGTGCCCAAACTGCCACTGATTTCAATAAAGAGGAAAATTGAGCCCTATAATGAGAGGACCTGAAGCTAGAGCTAGATGGTTCTTGGAGTTGTATGTGGGGGCAGTAGATCTTGAATGCTACTCACCAAGGGCCTGATCGAGAAAAGCATCCTTACTCGGGATAGCACTGAAGCATGTGCTTAACTTCAATGAGACTTAATAAGTCCTACTGAAGTTAAACACATGTTTACATGCTGTCCTGAACAGGGATGGATTTAAACACATGCTTATATACTTTACTGAATCAGGGCCTAAACTTCCGTACATTGCTCACTCTGTAAGGGCCTGATTCAAAGTCCATTGAAGTAAAAAGAGCCAGATTTTCAAATACTCAACACCTATAAGGGGGGCTAGATTTTTGAAAGCACTCCAAAGGAAGCAACTCCCAGTGTGACACCCAACAAGCTGAGCTCCTTTGAAAATCTGGTTCCAAGTGCCTGTCTCTTCCCTTGGGAAGCAAAGTGGCCCAGACATTCCCTGTAACCCTTAAATCCTCCCAGCAGTGGACAGGAACAAACACATTTGTTTTCCCTCATATTCAACTCCCTTCAATCACTGTTGGCTTGAAAGTATGATAGAATTCAAACATGAGCTGAGTTTGTGTTTTGCTGAGAAAAGATGATAGTGAAAAGAAGACAAGGTGAGCAGAGAGAAAAAGAATCTAATGAAAATATAAGGGCAAGAGATGTAGCAGAGAATGGGCAGGATGAAAAACAAATTTAGAGAGGCTGACAGGAGGAAGAAGCAGAGAAGAGAAAAGAAAAATATTCTAAATAAAACAAATTAAACAGTATATACCATATATAGGGACCCTCCTGTGCCAGCCTACTTATTTTTGAGAAGGAGGAAGGAGATGGTGGTGTGTATCTTTTGTCCCTAATCTACAGCACAGGCTTCCCATTAACTAGAGAATCATGATTACTTATTATTATCATTATTAATTTGTATTACAGTAGGGGCTTGAGGCCCAAACGGGGATTGTGGGCCCACTGTGCTAGTCACTGCTCACATGCACAGTATGAGACAGTCCCTGCCTTGAGGAACTTACAGTCTAAGTAGACAAGACAGTCAGAGGATGAGATACAGGAAGTATTATTATCCTAGATGTACAGAAGGGGTAATTTCTGTAAGGGTAACAGAGAGATTAAGGCTCAGGACCTCAAAAGGATTTAGGTGTTTAACTCCCATTGATTTCAGGGGAGTTCATTGATGCCCAAGATCACACAGGAAGTTTGTGGCAGAGCTAAGAACTGGACCCAGATATTCTGAATCTCAGGTCAGTGCCTTAACCACAAGAACAGCATTCATTCATTGGCTAGATTTTGTTCTTGTTGTTTGAAACAGGGATGGGATTAGATGGGGAAGAGTTTCACAAATTCATACCAGTCTTCTGAATCCAAAAAAATAATTTGAAAGCCTCACCAAACCTCCAACTCCATAGGGTTCACTCAATACTAGCAGTATATGTTATTTTTACCCAGTTGTTTCAACCTCTTTGCCTAAAATGAGGCATTTTTATACTGGGAAAATCTCTGCAACATCTCAGTCTTCACACATAAATCCATTTACATTGGATTATTCGTGAGAATTTTTTTTTTTGCCACTGGACATATGCTAATTTTAAGCTATCCAGCTGTCAACAAGAGTTTGTACTTTCCCAATCTCTCTCCGATTCCTGTTTGAGCCTGCAATGAAATCATAACGCTTGTGACAACATATCAATGTCCATGATGATCATAGTCAAATAAAGGATGTTCTCTTCACTGTATGATCAAGCAGGAGAGTCTCAGATGAGCTTAGAGATGTCCTTATCTAGGTACAACTATCTGAAATAACAGCAAGTAGGAACAGAATGGGAGCGGGGGGTCAAACTCAAGGCTCCACCCACGCCCTTCCCCTCTCTATCCCCATGAACTCACTGGCTCACAGCAGCAAGTATCAAGTAAGTAACCCTTATTAGGACTGCAATGGCTACTATGCACTCAACACCATGACTGGTGCTGCAATATGAGCAGGGTAGTAAGGAGAGGGGAGACAACTACTCCTTACTCTACTGCAAAGCCGTGATAATCTAGTCTCATGGCGAGTCCAATCTGGAATTGACCATGTGAGATGCTGAACTCCTAGAACTCCTCATGAAGTGAATGGGAGCTGAAGCCACACACCGACTTACAGGATCAGGCCCTTTTAAAATTTCAGTCAAGTAGCCCTTCAGTCATTGGTCTGCCCTGCGAGTGGCTCCTGAATCTGCACAAATCAGGAGCAGTGTTTTAAATCTGCCAGTCTTAAAAATCAGTAGCCACAATCATTGCCAGCCTTTTCCTCTCACATGCCTTATCTCTGACAGGTGACCTACCTGCAGCGTGGGGGCTGGCAGCAAAAAAATTCCTTGTAAAGCAATCATCTTTATTAACATGGCCTCTAAGATCACATTCTTACCTTGAGTTAACAACTCCACAGTCCAAAATAACAACACCTGCCCTTTGAAAGGACAGATATCCTCAATTGGGGAGAAAAGGCTGCTATTGTTTCTTTGTAACCTGCAGAGTGAACTGCAGAGTGAGCCAACTCTAACACTTCTAGTTCACTTAATTCACTAACAGTTGGTTAAAACAAAAGCACAGCTTACTTTTTGCGTTTCCGGATTCCTGAAACAACAAGGAAAAGAATTGCAGCCACAACGAGGCAAAGAACAACACCGAACACAATAAGCCAGACAGGCACAGTGGGTTCAATGGGTGGTGATAAAGTGGAGGAAATTTTCAAGAACTGCAGTGTGTTGTCTGTCAGTAGGAAAGCACTGTTGATTCTGTTTCTGTTCATCCTTTAAAAAAATACAAAACACAACACAAATGATAAACACATTTATAAATGAAAAGACAATGAGGAAAATATAGCCCTGATGTAGGCAGTACAACTCTGGCAGGGCTGAATGTGGCCCAATATGAAGTTTTTAGGCTGCATACATTGCATAGCCATTGTCACTGATCCCTATATATCCTGTGCAGGGTGTTAGCCACAAGACTCCCATATGCAACTGTTTGAAAGCTTAGGGGATAAGGACGAGACTTTATATTATCACTGTTTATGTATTTATTATATTTCTAATTGTTTCTACTTTGGGTCATGCATAGACTCTCATGAGATGGAATATGTACAAAACAAATGGAATTGTCGCTAAAACAAATTTTATTATTATAACTATTAATTAGTATAATTATCATCAAAGGAGGAATCTTGCACTTGTGAGATGTTGATTTTGATTCATAACACTGAATAGATTTTGCATGTCCAACTTAGGCCTGGTCCCCACTTAGTCCGGACTTCGGACTAGACGCGGCAGGAAGTCTCCCCCCCTCTTCGCCACGGACCTCTCTCTGGCAGCTGGGGGTACCGAGCCGGCCGGTAGGCACTG